ATCAAAATCCAATTTTCAGTGACTGGACATCAGTTAAACGTGGAGGATTCACTTGCACACAAGGTAACTCTAGGTACCTCAGTGTGGGAGTGGAGCTGAGTTTTTGTTTCTTACCCCTCCAAGAAAGGTATTTGCTCATGAGTTAATAGTGGCGTTTCCTTGAGGCAAGAGGCACTTCCCCTGCTGCTGGAGGGAGCGGGGGGGTTCAGCACTGCCCTGGGGTGGGAGAGGGAGATTGGCCCTAAGGGGCATGCCCTACAAACCACCTTGGAGTTGTGATTTTTTGGCCAAAATCACACAATGCAGTAAAAATGCCTTTTTTGTTGAAATAAATCCTGCGCCTTTACAGAGGAGTACTCCTCAGTTGTCTTTTTGTCTGCATAGGGGGTATTTGTGTGAACAATGAACTTTGGTAGGACGCAGAGAAGGGATGGATAATCCCCTGTGGGTTTCACACCCCCTCAAACACCACAGGTACCTGGCTTCAGGAGCAGGGGATATGTCCCGTGGGTGTAGCCCCACAGAAGCAGCCAAGCCTCACCCTACACTCAGGTCTGTCCCACCTCCAGTACCCCACAAGCAGTGGGTCTTCCCCAGAGCCACACAACAGGTCGTGTGGGGTAGTTTGAGAGTGGTCCTCATTTGGGTCAATGGCTAATTGGAAAACTGTTTGGTGCTCAGGTATATTGTAGCTGTGGCTAGAACGCAGTGGCAGAATTTTCCTTGAGTGCAGCCTGAGCATGGAGTGTGCTGGTCTGTGTGTCCTTGAAGGGTTATTCCAGGGCTGAATTTGTGTGTTGTACAGCAGAGCTGTGCAGCCTTGTCAAGGGGAGAGTACACAGTGTCCTGACAAAACTGGAATTACGGAATGAAGATTACTAATGGCACTTGGTTGTTTTGCCATATGCACGATGCAGGTGTACCTGAGCACACACCATCACAATCTGTTATGCAGTTGTAATCAAGATTCATACAGAGAGAGCTGACCCAGAACACAGCTCAAGATTTCTGCATTACTGCTGATGTGTCTCTCCCAGAGATCCCTCCAGCTCTTCAAGGAGCTGCTGTCTTTCAGCCAAGGCAACTGGTGGCCTGTGGGCTACAGTTAGCAGGACTAACTCCATCAGTTTTCAAAACTGGTGGCGACTAACTGGACGCCACCAGTTTTGAAAACAAATGACTGCAGCTGAGATGAGACTCGTGCTTTGTTGCTGTTGGTATTTAAAGGCTGTACGTGTTTGATAATAAGCGGTACATAGTTTATTTCCTGGGTGTTTAGATTGATCACAGCTGGCAGAAGAGAACGGGAGGAAAGGAAGTTTAAAGTGTAAATGGAGAGGAAAAAAACCCAGAAGCTTTGAAGTGTGTAATCCAGCATGTCGCTTTTCCTAGCGATCCTTTCTTCTAAGGTGAAAGTGGAGGGATAGATGTATACGTTACAGCAGTTTTCAAGTACATTTTTCAAAGGGAGGTACTCTGAGATTCTGCTGCTGATAATGATTCATCCGAGAGGATGGAAAGGATTCCTCAGTTCTTTGTAGATCTGTAGATAAGTCAGCTGAAGAACAGCTCTCTTTGCCACAGCTAGCCGGAGCTGAGTCAATTATAGAAAGGAGTTTTATTAATAGTTAAATTAAATAGTAGCTTCAGTAATGCCAGCCGTGGCAGTAGCCTTAATTGAAGATTATGCCAGTGGGTGATTTGCTGTACGTTTTCTTCCATCGTTTCAATCAGTAGCACACCCTTAGTGCTGAAACCATTTGCTTTAACCTCAATTTTATTAGCTTTCAGAAATGCTGAAAAATTAGTGCACTGTTTTTAAAGTGCCTCATACAGTCAGATTCTGGGGCTTTTACTGCTGTCACAATTCAAGTAAGAAACTACATAAGCTGGGGAATAAGTGAATGTGAGTATAAAGCCTTTGCTGATACTGAGCTTAGAGGTAGTATTGGCTCAATCTGCTTCAGGTGCATGCCTGGCTGCTCAGGATCTTCAGGCTGCAGTGCTTTCAGCATCAGGGCTGTGCTTTACTCTTTAAACTTTTAATGCTGAAGTGGAGTGACTTTGGTGTGGCAGATGGCACAGCAGAGATTTCTGATACATCACTGTTTTTTGGCTGTTGGCCTTATGGCAGCTGTGTCTGGTTAGGGAGCTCAAAAATGCCTGACAATAATTACCTCTAATTTCTGCAGGCGGCATCGTGGTGGTTTTGGGACTGTGTTTATTCCTTTCTGTTTGTTCCTTGGTACCCGTCCTGCCTTCATTATGCTTCCCATACAACTGCTCAGGAGAAGTTTGGGAGTTTGGCTTTTTTGTTTGGTTGGGTTTTTTATCCAGTGCCCTGGATAGTTTTTAGGCTTGTCTTTTCACTGAATGTTTTACTAAAGGTCAGAATTCACTTTCCATTCCCTCTTTATCTCCTTATTAATAGTTTCTTTACTCATTTGTTTACTGAAACTAAGGAAAGTTTTTTGATTTAGAGTTCCAAGAACCTGTATAAATACTGACCCAGATGAAAATATTTACTGGGATATTGGTTCATCTGTATGTATTTGGGTACGTACACATGATAAAATGTTAAGATAAAAAACTCCATGTTCACACTCTGTATTTTTCATAACCTTTAGAACACATGTGAATTCTTTGCAAAGGGATTAGAAACATAAAGTGAGAACATGGTTGTGAGTGGGTCCAAGTTCTGAAAATGCTTTAGTACCTCAAAGCATCTGAGGCTGTAGCTCAAAACTTGGAATTGGTTGGGAAAAGGAGTGAAAGTGCAGATGTGTAGGTAGGCAAGTCATGCAGGTGCCTGGAAACTCCCAAACTTAAATTCATCAGAAGACTTGTGTGGGTACTTGTTTTCTGAACTTCCTGAAAATAATGTGAAATTCACTCAAAGAGCAATCCCACTTCCTTTCCCTGGAAAAAAAGTGGAAAAGTGTACAGACTATTTGCTCCAGAAAGTGTGTGAACAGTTGTAACATTTAAGATATTATTTGGAATGAAGTGTTAGTGATGTCAGCTAGAGAATTTGTAAAAACAGGAGTTTAAACGTCAGGAATTTATATCTATTCAGTAATAAACCTGTAACATTTGCAAAAGAACTTTAAAGGATGTTAAAATATATATATATAAATAAAGTGAGTATGATTATGGTGTAGTGCTCTTCTGTATGAAGTGAGGACTGCATTAAATGACCTAAACCACAAGATTATTCATGATGTTTTCTGGACTTTTGTATGTTTGTATTTAGTGTATATCAGTAGTGAAATCAATGTAGTTTTTGAGATCTCAATGGCAAAACAGTACAAGTGCCTAATTAGAGCAGGTAATGTTTGTTAGATCTGGCAGCAGTGTGTTGGAAATGTGGGAGTGTGTAACCACAGTTTGGTTTTGTGAATGCTGAGAGGCCCTTGGGCAAGATAGAAGGAGGAGGACAGATGGCCTGAAGAGGAGAGGGCTTCTGAAACTCCCTCTTGTAACCTGTCATCTCCAGCTTGCTGATATAAATGGAGAATACCTTCACCAAACTTCACCCAATTGCCATATCCATATGTATTAGTCCATGTCCCTCCTGCACGCAGTTGGAGCCTGTGGATTGGTTGGTTACTTAAGCTATATTAAAGTAATGGCAAGTTTTTTGAAGCCTAGTAGAGGAGCAACACAGCTAATCTGTCCAATTCATAGCAGCTTTTACAAGAAAGTATTTTAACTTATGGATGTGAAAATTCTTAGCTCACTTTAGTCAGTATTTAGTCTCTCAGTAAGCAGTACTTTGAGAAACAGCAGGTTATGGTATCTTTGTGGGTTGATACAACGTGTATGACCACCAAAAAATCATGGTTCTTTTGGTGGTCGTACACGTTGTATCAACCCACGAAGATGAAAAAGCATGGGGTTTTTTGGTAAGTAGAATTCAGTGATTTTGTAGAACTACTGTACAGTCAGTTAGAAGATAGTGGATATGAAGCATTGGACTTGGTTTTTGCAAACCATACCATACTGAGAGGAAGACAGCAAAGCCATAACTGAAAGAATAAAGAATTATACCTGTAGAGCTCTCTTCAGTTACATGGCCTCATCCCCTGTATTTTCCTGCAAGACAGATGAGCTTCAGATAAGATGCTTTCAGTCATATCTTGCCCAGAGTAAAAGTAATTTGGTGCTGTCTGGATGACAATCTGATCTCTTACTGACCACGTCAAAATGAGAAAACTTAAGAAGTTTACTCTCATGAAAAAAGATACTGGCAGTCTGAGTAATAATTTTAAAACTATAGCAATGCTGGTAGCCTGTAGCCTGATGCTACTTATCTGTTTTACTATTGGCAATCAACTGGGTTTTAGTCACTTGAAAACCTACCACTAAACCCCCAAAATTCTGCAAATTCACACTGCTCTTAATGGTCTCTTAAAGGTGGGCTCAAGTTTGTAATTACCCATATTGTACTTTTCTAACATTTCCAATGCAATGTTTTCCAGTAGCAGTAATGCTAATTCAAACCAACAGACTTCAGAAAAAGACAAAATAATATTTGGATATATAATAGTACAGCATTGATTGTCCCATGTTAATTGGCTTTGAGCTGTTGAAATTAAGGAATACCACATCTTACTGGTGTACTTAGAATTTTTGTAACAGCTAGTTCAGTCAACCAGAAAGTGATCAAAGTGACAAGATGATCAAAGTGACAGGAAATAATATTTTAAAGTATAATCAAAAGGGATGCCAGTAAATAAATATTTCTTTATGCTATACACACACAAAAAAAATAGAATCAGAAGCATGGAAAAAACTTTTAAAAATTCTCAGAGTGGTGAAATACTGAAATAACTTGACATTAAAATAAAGATAGTGTTCAGAATAACATTACATAACTCAGCTAAGAATGTCTGTTGAATTGATGTGATTTACTGTCACTGAAAGGAATTGTTCTTAGTATTTTTCAGTGCTGTATTGCATGGGATGATATTGCATTTTTTTAATTTATATTTTTCCAGGTCTGACAGCAGCTGCCATGGCAGAAGCTATGAAGTTACAGAAAATGAAGCTTATGGCAATGAACAGCCTTCATGGAAGTGGAAGTCAAAATGGAACAGAATCAGAAAACGAGGAGCTCAATTCTAATGCAGGTCAGTAGTGCTGCACACGAGGTGAAGGGGAGCTCTCAACACCTGGGGCTGTGTGTGAAACAGAATCAAAAACCTCTCTCAAATTCTGGTCTTCTTTCATTTTGTAACCTTTGCTCTCCCAGTGTCAAGTCAAAATCACTGCCCCTCTGCCTCCAGTATCCCTCCAGTTCTCCTCCCAACAGCCATCTTCATTAATTTTTTGAAAAATATTGGTAAAACATTGTTTTCATTGTTAGAATACAGACATTCTAAACCGTTCCCTAAATATATTTTTGGTAACAAAAGACTTCTCTATTGGCAAGAATACAGTGACTCTAGACTTTTCCTGTAAATGTTGGAAAGTTTCCAAAGCATCAGGTTGCTGGAACTCATCTTGAGTTCCACAGTCCACTGGAGAGAAAGGTAGAGTAGGGAATGTGAAATCACCAACCTTCTGGCTTTTCTGCATTTTGGTTTTTTCCTTGAATGGGTATTTGGAAACCAGAGGTTTCAAGGGGAGTCGTGATAAACGTTTGTTCTGGGCTGCCTGGCTGGTGACCTTGGGTAGAAGGCCCTCACTGAGCACGTGTGAGTCTGTACACCTGTAGGCATCAGGTAAACCTGAACTAAGCTCCCCGAGTCCCAGCTCCAGCAGAAGAGGGTCCAAAGGTTAAATCAGAAATGGATCCTTTGAAGAGGGCATCTTCTTTGTTCATTCTAATGTTCTTTTCAAGTCAATAGATGAAATTTTCACTTGGATTGTGTAGAGAACCTAGAAGAAGATGGATCCATTTTGTTTCAGAAAGCCCCTGGATACCTATTACAACAAGAGCAGTTTCACTTGCACTCCCTTTTTTTGACACAAATGGTCTGTCAGTACACACTTCCTGCTTTGGAAAACTCAGGCATCCTTTGTTGTCCCTCTCCATTCAAGGCATTGTGAAGTCCCTCGTGGCTCTCGGGTCCCCCAGCAGCATCCCCATGTCTCTGAAGTCACACATGGGTCTCTAGAGACGAAGCTGCTCGTACAGTTTGCTTGCTTGGATGGGGTGTAGTGGATCTGCATTGTACCATCAAAATGGTAATTTATTAGACCAATAAAGCAGCAGCTGGGAGGTCTTAGACTCATTTTCTAAAGGAGTAACTTTGAATTCGTGACAAATTATGCACAAAGCAGTCTTTCCAAAAGTGGTATTGCCTTTTGCTAATTTTGTGTACTCATCTGTATTGAAGAAATCTGGCTTCTAATTCATGCATTAAACCCTTCCCCAGCTTTCTATTATGTAGGGTGTGTGTTTCTTATTCACCTCTCAGACCCTAATCAATTAGTGCATATTGAATTCGGAAAAAAACACTGAAAAAGCATGTTTAGTTTGTGTAACTCTCACAGTTCAAAAATGAAGTGTCACTGAATGCTAAGAATTATGACTGAAGACAGAATTCCTACTGAAAAGCAAGGAAACTTCATACAGAAGAGATGCAGGGTTAGTGCTGGGGGGTTCGAAAGCTGCTGTACAAAAACTGGCTGATTTGAGTGTTCACGGATTCCTGTGTTACCCAATACAGCAAAATTGGTGTACTTCATGTGGGGAGAGTATCCAGTACATTGGTATTATTATTTTAGGTACCTCGTTGACAAGTTTTCTGGGGGACTGTCATACCAGCCTTTCGACACTACGTCAGGGGTATGCATGTTAAATCAGAGTTCTCTGTGGTTTAGCAATTCAATGAGTTCTACAACTGACTCAGTACCAATTTCAATATTTGGAAAAATTTCCACTGGCTGTAGGTGAAGTTACAGTGGGGCCCAAGGATAAGGGTATGGTGTCAGTGATGTAAAGATCTTTTCTCAGTCCTTTCCCCTTTTCATTGCCTCATTCAGTAACACTGCCAAGAGCCAGTTGGCTGGATCGAGCGCCGATGTTGCTTGCAGACAGAGAAATAAGTCCTTCACAAAAGAACTGCAACTAATCATATTAAAACCCACAATTTCTCCTCTTTTTGTGTCTGCAGTGCCAACATTAGGATCATTTTTGTAATGCGTGGCTTCTCTCTTTATTGGAGGATCATCTTTTAAAGTTTTATGTTAAGCAGGTACAGCAAGATGTGTCAAAAAGGAAAACCACTATGAAAGGAACATAAAATTAACTGTATATTTCACTATACAAAATAGCTGAGGAATTATCAAATATTAATGATAGAAGACAGGTTACAGACTGAGGTGAGGCATGGAGAGGGTGGGCATTTTGGCTAGAAGCTGATACACATTTACTTTGACTCCCAGTGAAGAGAACACCGTGATAATTTTGTGTGTATGAAACCTTTACCAACTGTTTGTTTTGCTCTAGAGTCTTACAGTTTAAACGACCATTAAAAGCAAAATGAGGATGCAAAATGAGAAAGAAAATTGAATTTTGAAATTTTTTTTTTACTAAGACGAGCTAAACAGGAACAGAGCAAAGGAGTCAGAAGCCTCATTAGTGAGAAAAACATTTTATTTTAGGGGAGAGACCTACAGTTTCTTTGATTTGAGGTTGTGTTTAATAGCTTCTGTAATGGCTGCAACATGACTCTGCATCTAGATTTCAGCATGAATAACAACCTGCTCGTGTTTCATTTAGCTCCAAATGAGAAATTCTGTCTTTTATTGTTTTAGGAAATTAGTCTGTGTACTATTGCTCCTAGAACTTTATAATTAATCACTAAAGGTTATGGCTGTGGAGAGTTTGTGGGAAATAGATGTCTGAATGGTTATAATTGTAGCTGTCAAATCAGAAATATTGTTATACAGAGCAGAGGACCTTGTGCTTCCTTTGATTTCTTTTTCTTTTTACTGTAACAAAGACTTGTAGGGTTGCAGTTTTACTTAAAACACAACTGTAGAGATTGTTGTTTTTTTACCTCAGTGTTACACATGGACTTCCTTTGGCAAGCAGAAGATACAACGCCACTAAATATTTCACATTAGGATATGTTCCTTCCTCCCCATTCCACAATCTGACAGAGGAGTGGAATCGTCTCTCTTGGTGTTGTTTTGAATTAAAAATGTAATTGATTGTTATTAGGTCCTGAAGCTTTATTGCCAGATTTTTTGGAAGTGTGTCATTATATACAGGCCATTAGTATAATAGAGCAGTGGTGAGGATGTCTTGTCATCTTCATTTCAACCCCCATCTGTATCTGTTGAAATCAGTATGGAATAATTTTGGATTTGCTTCTTTAGTAATGCCTAGAATGTCACTTCTGTCATTTCTTTCTCCGTGTGTGTGTACCTATGACGATGGAAATATTTGAAGAATTTCTGTATCTGAAGCCAGAATTCATGCTATCAATTTAAAATCTGGACTCCTAACTCTCAGGATCACTGACTATAATTCCTCAGGTATTGTATTGTCCTCTAGGAAGTTAGAAGTGTGGATTTGAATTTTACAAGTGTGTGTAAGGAAATGGGGAGTAAATGGGCCCCTTCTTTGCCTGCTACATGTCCAGTTGATAAACTTTTGCCATCAGGTCCTGCCTGCCTCCTTTTTTGTGGTATTGTAATAATCTCAGTAATGGTGGAGTTTGGTCCTGGAATATTCTGAATAACTTTTTTTTTTTTTTTTTTTTTTTTGCTGCAAGAGGCAGTACTGAAACTGTGAAAAAAAAAAATTTGCATGTATTTTTTTAATTGAAATAATGCATTAGTCCACAGTGCTGTGAAGGATGTTGTTATACATCTGAACATGAATGTCCTCCTTCCAGTCTCTGTGCAGAAGAGAAAGAGATTTTTTTGCACCTTCCTACTCATCATATGAAGTGTTGAAGCAAACTTCTCAGGCAGTTGAAAAATCTCATATTTACTCTGGCACTATAGGTTCTCTGGCCCCACAGGCCAGCCAGTGTGTGCTAGCTCTTCCTCCTGGCTTCCTGACTGTCTCCATCTTCTTGTAGGACCTAGGAAATGACGTTGAATCTAGAGAACCATGTAACTGGGGACATAGATGTCATGAAGTGGGAGAAATTAATCCCTCTAAATCTCAAATTCCCAGTGCCCATAAATCTTTCATAATCCTATTCCCCCTTTTTGGCTGCTCCACGTGAGTGCTTGGAGAGGAGACAGTGTGTTGATGGCAATCAGTGTGCACATCTGAGGGCTGCCTTGAGTCCAGAGTCATGTTCCACTTCAGAACATGAGTGAGATCAGAGTTTGAAGCTGGCAGCAGAGGCCAGGTAGGCTGGGGGTGTGTGTAGACTTCCCAAAGCCCAGCCACGTCATCAGTTTTGTTGTCCTATAAAAACCAGATAAACAAAACCTCTCTGGTTGCACAAAAGTGTTTATAAAGATCACCTCTTTCATCATCATGCAATACTAAAATTAGGTGAAGTGGAAATTAGCATATAATTGCCTAGGGAAATTTGAAACTTATTTGAAATCAGAGCTTTTTTTTTTTTAATAGCATGGCAGCAGGTAATTTGAACAAGTATGTGTTAGAACGGGAACATGAGGGATAGATTGCACAACACAGTGTTGGTGCTGTGACCTGAGCATCCTTGAAGCTGCGTGAGCAAAGAGGATCAGTGTGTGGCAATCCCTGGGAGTACCTGCTTGTACAAATCCTCAGTGCAAAGAAGAAAGCAGTTATTTCCTTCTGTTGGCTTTTGGAGTTAGCATGCATGATTTAAGAAATGTGTTTTGCTTTCCCAGGAGAGATATCAAACAGTACTAAGTGTTTCAGTGGTATTTCCTTAGGAAGTCAAAATGTTATTCTGTATGTAGAGTCTTGTTGCTTAATTTCCAGACAAGGAGCTAAGTTAGGCAGAAAAGAAAGGAAAAACACTCTGGCTTTTGGCATATGAGGATCAGAGAAAAAGCTCTTCACAGAGGAGAAAAAAAAAAAAAGTGTTATCTTTTTATCCTTTTTTCCCTTCAGTACCTGCCATGCAGTTTTCTCATAAATGCAAACATCCTTCACAATCTGTTTAAAAAACCACAAATACATCACTCGGAGGAATATTTAAGGAACCATCAGGAGGGAAAA